ATGAACTGGTGTGGGTGGGGGGTGGGGGTTCACACAGCATTATCGGTTCCTTTAGTGTAGTACAAAATTAAACGGTCAACTTTATACTTGTCCATAATGGGTTTTTGTTATTTAAATAGCTTCTTCAGATGGCTGTATTAACTTTGAGAGCATGCAATTTAAAATGTTTGAAAAGTTAACACCATGTTGTCTTGCTCGGGGCTAGAGTGACCTGATAGGAGCCCACAAGAGTAATCATCAATAATCAGATTGTAGTTCTAGGTTTGTACAAGTGACCTTTTATCTCTACTCAAAGGCTGTTAATGATTGTTTAGCTTGCAAGTGGGCGGTAGATAAAATAAATGGGATTAAAAACTGAAATGCATCTTCCTTGCATTGATTAAAATAGTTATTTTGTGTTTTATGAAGCACATAATAAAATAAGTAATGAAATAAGATTTTCTCCTGCAGTTATGTTATATGTTTACATTTTTATTTTTCCTGTTCTGATTATTCCAACCAAACTGTTTTTCAGCCACAGCAGTGTGATTTTTGTTTTAAAGTAGTGAACATTTAGAAGAACGTAGACCAGAAAAAATGTATTTGGTCAGGACAGTCTAGGAGTTTATACGACATCAGTATCTAATGGTTTGCTCATCAAATATCATCAGGGACAGAAATCTTAATCACTTTTTGTCCCACATGGTTACAGTCAATGTGCTCTACATTGCACTCTGGGAACTGGTTTCTCTGTGTTTCCATTATGGTGCTAGAGTTTCACTAGCAAGAAATGCATGCATGCTGCTGCACCATGTGGTCATCATGTCCCAGTGTGAAATGATGTAACATGATGCACGCCTACATATGCGGTTTTGTGGAACATGGCGTTCTGATATATGATGTACAACTGAGAGCTCGTCTGTATTTGCAGAGCTGCAGGACACTGTGGAGGAGGTTCTACCAATGCTGAGAGAGCAGGGTATCAGTGTGTACCTCCTGTCAGAGAACTGCAGCATCCAGGGCATCAATACATTGTTGGACAAGATCTCCCAGGCCTCGGATCAGCCACTGTCCCCGGACCTGAGGGCCAATGTCAATATCAGGAGCACCGCTTTGTACATCTACACATCAGGCACCACAGGTACACCAGGAAACTCCTGACACCACCACTGTTGCTAGTTTCTTATTTAAAGTCAAAACAGATGCAGTCTAATACAAATGCCTTGCAATAAATCTAACCTTAATGAAGGTGCATTATACTGAAAGGTGTTGGTTATTATATCCAGCATATTTATAAAATAAAGAGTAGATCTGATTTGATTCTTCACTCAGCCTGTTCAGTGGCAGTGAAAACTGGGAACATTTAGTTCTGTCAAGTTTTTACGTGAGATATGAAGCTTTTGGAGTAGCACAATCCATCCATTATCTATACTGTTTAATCCAGAATAGGGTCGTGGGGGGTCTGGAGCCTATGTGGCACATCGAGCTGTAAAAATTAACACCTTATAATAGATATAGTGAACAATTCCGTATTATATAACCAAATGCCAGCATTAGTGTGTTTGATTCTGGCTGTTTAGCAGCTACTGTAACTGCTCCGTTATGCTCACCAGCTATTCAGTAACTGTTTATCATTTGGTGTTGAGCAGGTACCAGTAAAGTTGCAGGCCATAAAACCAAAACAATGAACTGGAAAACACTCAAGATCTGAACCAAACTGGAGAGCTGGGTGATGATTTACTATTCTTTTGGAAGGTTTGCCTAAAGCAGCCGTTATCACCCATGAGCGGGTATGGGCTGCCTCCTTCCTCCAGGCATCCTGTGGAGTCACAGCAGAGGACATCATCTACATCAATCTGCCTCTGTATCACAGCGCAGGCTTCCTCATCGGAATGACTGGAGCCATCGAGAGAGGTAATTGTTCTCTTAACCTTCATAGGAATGTAAGAACAGAACTATTCATCCACCTTGTTTGGGCAGTTTAACCTGTAGTATGGTTGTGTAATGTGACGCTGATTGCAGGTATAACCATTATTCTGCGGAGGAAGTTCTCTGCATCTCAGTTCTGGGACGACTGCAGGAAGTATAATGTGACAGTGATGCAGTACATTGGTGAAACACTGCGCTACCTCTGCAACACACCCAAGGTAAAAGGACTCTAGACCAACATGTAGTTTCAATGAATCGAGGACCGTTGTTGTAATGGAGGATCTCTAATCAGAGCTGTTGTCAATGTTTGCAGAAAGACAACGACAAGAACCACAAAGTGAGGATCGCCATTGGCAACGGAGTCCGGACAGACATCTGGTCGGAGTTTCTGAGTCGCTTTGGTGACATTCAAGTTAGAGAGTTGTATGCTGCCACAGAGGGGAACATCGGCTTCTTAAACTACACCTCCAAGATCGGTGCAGTGGGGCGAGCCAACTTCGTCCACAGTGTAGGAGCAACATGTGAAATGTTTGTTGTGGTAGTGTGGGGCACTGAGCCCCAGTTTGTAGCTAGCAGCTACAGTGGAGCTCTGATTTAAATTTGCCACACTGATTTGAAAAACGCCTCTTATAACCTCGGATCAGTGAGGGTGTGGAAGTGCAGTGTGGATTTTAACAACAGTGACCATAGAGGGAAAGAAATAAGCACCTGGCCTGAAGATAGTGGGGTGGGGTTGTTACAGCAGGGAGACAACACTTCTAGACATTTTTCTTTACTTGATTTATCCAAATTTGTGCTAAATCTTAGTTAATGCAGCTTTAATCAACAGTAGAATGTAGACGTTATGTGATTATACACCTTTAAATGAACTTACTTTCTTCTCCCAGTGGTTCTTCCCCTACACTCTGATCAAGTTTGACATTGAGAAGGAAGAGCCTGTTAGAAGCTCTGAAGGTCTGTGCATCAAGGCAGCCAAGGGTGAGTCAACATTACAGGCTGTTTACACCTCTCTCTGCTTTTTGACACAAGTAGCAGTAGCTGCTTTGTTGTCTCTGATGCTTAAACCAATAATTGTTCTGTGATCCTGTGACGGGCGATCGCTATTTCTCATGTCTTTGTCAGGTGAGACGGGACTTCTGGTGGTAAAGATTACTCACCGAACTCCTTTTGTGGGGTACGCTGGTAACCACCAACAGAATGAGAAGAAGAGGCTTCGCAATGTATTGGAAAAAGGCGACCTTTACTTCAACACCGGCGATTTGCTTCGGCTTGACCACGAGAATTTTTTGTACTTTCAGGATCGAGTTGGTGACACTTTCAGGCAAGTTGTGACTCATTTTGTGTTCTCCCATCAGTTTTGACTAAATCACTATTTAATACTTGTGAATTTGTTGGACAACAGAAACAGGAAAATATGTAAATAAGAATGACTAGCAACAATGAGTTTGCGGTGTGGATGGATCAGATTTTGTTGTTTCTTGGTGTGGATATAGTATTAATTTTAAGGCATGATGCATCATAGTATAAAATTTAAAGCAACAGTTCATCTTGTTTGGAAAGTACAGCCCAGTTTTTGTCTAAATGCAGTAAATCAACCCCAATATGTTAAACAGACGTTTGTTTTTGCGCCTACTTAAAGAAAAACTGTATTTGTGCCTTTGTTGCAGATGGAAAGGAGAGAACGTTGCCACATCAGAGGTTGCAGACATTCTCATATTGGCTCATTGCATTTTGGAGGCAAATGTATATGGTGTTAAAGTTGAAGGTAAAAACACTGACGTCATAAATATTCAACCCTGTCTGTCAGTATGGGAGCAGAAACTATAGAAGAGGCTTTTCTAATCATTTCCTGTATGTGAATCAAACCGATTAGGTCACGAGGGGCGGATTGGCATGGCAGCTGTCACTTTGAAGGAAGGAGAAGAGTTTGACTGTTTGGACACCTACAAGCAGGTCGTCAGCTACCTCCCAGCTTACGCGAGACCTCGATTCATCAGGATTCAGGTAAAACAAAACCCCTTATGTTGCCACTTGGGTGATATTAGTCTGCCTTACTGTCTTGGAGGTTGAGGACGACTGTAGACACTACTCAGCGCTAAGAAAGTCTCAACTTCTCAACATTTTTGGGTAAAAAAATTATTTAGCTAGTTTTATATAGACAATTCTCCTAAAAAGTGACTTTTTGAGTAGGCTACACTAAGATTAGGGAAAACGCAAGCGAGTTAATTTAGTTGCTCGATATATATTTATATTATTTGTATATACATGTTTCTTGTTCTGCTTTCTGTGTACTGAGGAACCTAGGATATCTACTGATACTCAGTTTTATAACACTTATGAAAAATCAGTTTAATGGGGATCTGTGATGTTTGGTCATCATCTGATTTGCCTCATAAGATCAGTATCGGTGTTGTTCCTTTGTTGCTGTTTATAAAGTTGGACAAACATTTTAAAACTTTTTTTTTTTTTTTTTAAGCCCTGCATAGAGACGACGGGGACATTCAAGATGAAGAAAGTGAGGTTGGTGGAGGAGGGATTCAACTGCACTTACATCAAAGACCCTTTATACTTCCTTGATCTTGAGAAAAAGACATACGTTCCCCTGACCGAGGAGATCTACAGAGCGATCACCTCTAGGGAAATCAAACTTTAACAAAGTAGCGAGTGTTGATGTTGAACCAGGCGACTCATTCCCTCATGGACCTCTAGACACTGCCAACTAATCTCAGGGACAGGAACTCTAGAACATCACATCATTTGAAGAGGCTCCTTTTTTTAAATTAACACAGCTACAGTTCATCTCTACAAAACTAATGTTTTTTTGGCATCCAGGTATATCTCCATGCCACTAGTGTGCTTTTAATAATTAAACTCTGGTTACCTCTTTCCCCCGAGTCTTTATGATCATTCAACTAAACTGCAACATTTAAATGTTTATTTTAATCAGAGATTTTTGCATTTGATGATAATATGGTAAAATGTAAAACTTAATTCTGATCAGATTTTACACAGATGTACATTAAAATTTTAAAACCTGCTATGTCACATGTTGTACAATCTGTGGCAGGTTTATCAGTGAACCTTTGAACTGATGTTATGTACAGACAGTCTTTGTTCTGTCAGATTGTTTGTGTACTATTGGCACATACTGTTAAACTTAATCACGTAAAGTATGTGAGGATCTTTACGTTGTTTTGCCCCCAAGTGCTCTGTCGTTAATCTAAGAGCTGCCGAAGTGCTCTTGTAGCCACGTTTATGGACACAGCGACTTTGATTGTGGTGGGGTGACTGACCTAACATGACCTCTGGCATAAAATACTTGGTCACAAGCTTAGTCATGGGACTAGCATGCCAAAGGTTGAAATTGATTAGTTTTTATTAAAAGTAAAGATATTTTTAATGCCCGAGAATGAACTTCCTTTTCTTACAGTCCCATTCGTCAACTATTTAAAGTATTATTTCCTCATTTGGATGTTCGGGCTTCTCTCTGCAGACTGATGCATGTTCAGTTTGTTTTCTGTGCTGAATAAGCTTCTCTGTGCACAATATGTGCAACAACATGTGATTTACTAAAGTGTGACAGGGAAACTTGCCTCCAGTGCAAACACACTGACAACAGGCTTTTCGGTGAAGTATAAGTCATTTGTACATTCATAAACGGTGGATTTTTGGATAGGAAGAAAAAGACTTAAGCATTTTTAACTAGTGATTGTTTTGGTTACATGACAAAATATTTAAAGCCAAATAGCTTTTGCTTTTTGAGCTTGAATGATTAGTTGATTAGAAACTAGTTAAAACGTTTTAAACAAAATGCCAAGTATTTGGTGATTCTGTAATTTTTTGTATTAGCTCTCATATTGTAAACTGAACTTTTGGGGTCTTTGAAAGGCATTATAAAGATGTATGACATCTTTATAATGCCCTTCTCTAGAAATGGATGATGAACCTTTTAAAACGAATTTCTGGCAGTTTACAACCCAAACAATTAAATTAATTGGTAGACTAACTGATAAAGTCAATAATCAATAATTGTAGCCCAGTGTGCTTGGAAAAAAAAAAAAAATCTGATCAGCGAACCAGAAAATGTCAGATTAATAAAAAGACATTAGGAAACTTGAGGAACATTAAGTGCCGTGGTGGCGAACAAACTAATAGGGTGCAGAATAATCCACCTGAATGCTCAGCTGACTAAACTTTCAGTAAATCAGGCGTTGCATACCGTCAAACACGCCAGCTTCTGCGCCCACAAAGGAATTCCTCGAGCTGTTTGGCAGAAAAACAGTCTGGGTGTGTCATTATATAAAACATCTGGAGGTTTGGAGCAACACAAAATAATCAAATCCGAGGAGCACTTACTTTAAAAGTGAATTTATTTATTAATACAGTGGTATACTTAGAAATGTCGCAAAAAAAAAAAAAAAAAAGTTGAACTAAAGAACCAATCTAAATAAATAAAAATGTCAGCCACACAGGAGAACAAACTAGTTGGGTTGAAGCAGTGTTATATCAAAAGAAAACAGTACTGATGTGCCATAATAAATTGTCTATTAGTACAAAAATACATTTCAGGGCACACAATACAGCATCCAGTATCACAAATAAAGGGGCCACTCTTCACAGCAGACGCCCTCAAGTACATCTTTTAAAATCATTTAAACCAAGCACTTCTCTATTTTGTAAATAAGAATAAAAAGTTTTGACTGTTAAAAATGCCTCCAGTAGTGTTTGTGTGTGTATAGGTTGGTAGAAAAGTCAGACTTATTACTGCTTATGTCAGTTCCAAGGCTCAGGGGTATAACCAGAATATAAACATAACCAATGTAACCGCTTTCTCTTTTTTAACAAACGTTTTCTCTTTTATACAAAATAACAAATGTACAAAAGTTGATTTACAGAGAACCAAGGCCATATGCTAGCAATATATACAGCCACAATTTAAACATCTTCTAGCTTTGTGTATTTCCTCAGACTCCATATGCATAGCGGTAAAAGAAAGCATACCATTTCATCAGCCTCAGTTATTCTCGTGTGCTAAATCCGAGTTCACCGTTTGAGAAAATGCAGAGACTTTTTCTTCGTAGTGATCGCTGTAACTGAAGGATCGATGTTTTAAAGTGTCACTGAAAAGTTAATATGCGGATAAGGCATCACTGCTTGCAGTGTACGATGGGGTTTTCATGTGTTGAACTTAGTGGTAGCAGGCATCTGGACCTGAGTCATAGCACATGCATAGATCTATAGACAGCAGGAGTTTGTAAAATCAAGTCAGTATATTTATCTGTGGTAAAACATTGCTACAAAACAGTTTGAAACAGTCCCGTGAGAGCAAACGGGCGTCGGACACTAACGCTTAACCTTCATTCCTCATCGTTTTATGATGCCTATATCTTCCTTCAGGAGTCAGGCTCAGCGTTTCTCTATCCTTCATGAGTGAAACGCATGACAGGGAACTCACAAACAAAAGTTTTGCATATACTAACTTTTCTGTTTGTGAGTGTCTTATTTTTTATTTTACAGTACAGAAATAAAAATCCCACTGCAATATTAAACAAGTTTCCAAAATTCTCCTTTTTCCCTCACACTGCTCTGACCTTTTACGAAATTTGCTAAAAATGTCCATATGAGATTTATCAGTCTGTGGCACTAGTCATGCATTCCAACTTCAGTTCCTTTGCTTAAATAACTTGATTTAATCTTTATTTTTTGCAAGCCTCAAAAGCACCAAAAAAAAAAAAAAGAACATGAGTGCAGTCTCAGGGATGCTGGACTCCTGTGTGTGTGTTTTTCCCCAAATTTTGAGCACAGTAAACAACGTGAGTAAATCAAGTTCATCATCTTACTTCATCATCAAGCATTGTGCACCATGCCGCAGTGGAGGGTGAGCAGCAGGGGCGACCGACGCCCCCTCTTTATCACATTCAGTAACAGGCCAGCTGTTGCCCTCTTCAGAAGTGGTCAATGAGCACAGACACACAGTTTGCACCCACCAGGTAGTTTGGGTCTCCAGGAAGAGATTTGTTCTGCCAGGTTTTGGGATCACCTGCAGGAAACAGAGACATGGTGACAGCTGCTGGAGAACCTCCCTTCATCTTAAAGCACAGGAAAACACACAGCTCAAACCAGAACAGATTATTCTGACAGACGTTCTCGTCAATAAAGCAGTAAACAACAAGCAGAACTAAGAATTTCAATGATTACTTCATTAATGAAGGCGGGATGTGTGATGAAGTCATGAGTCTGTGATTAATGCTTAACAGATCATTAATATAATGACTTGTAAATCTCAAATCACTTCACACATGAATTCAAGCATCACTAAAATAAGCCAGAATCCAGTTCAAGAGAAAAGGGACACGTTTAGACATGTATTAGATCACCTCCTCTGAAAGCACAACAGTATCTGTTAGTGAGAAATATTGAGCTGTTTTATGAAACTGGTGGTCAGATGTAAACAGTTTGACTAGGAGTATAAGGGCACAACCAGCTCAGGTTTCGGTTTAACCCACAATAACACACTAGTGTCAGTTCATTTTTCTTAGGCATGTAAAGCCACAAAACAAGCTAGGAAGTGGCATAACAAGACTTTCTTTGGCATTTTATTACTATTTCATTGAACAAAGCGGATCACAACACAGAAGAGACATTGAAATATTAACTGGGGACTTAAAAACCAGTCTGTCATCAAATCATGAGAACTAATGTACATGTGAGAAAAGCCCGCAGATGTAGCATTGCTCTGCTATAATATCGGATTCACGATGGACAACTTTACCTGCCGCCTACATTACCCATAATGCAGCTCGACTGCTGACAGTTCAAAGATCTGGGTGTGGTGCTCGCCACAGGTACAGATTTTGATTTTCAAACTTAACTACAGCTCCACCTGACACTCGGTTGATCAGATTCAACGCAGATTTTCCACAACTTTTTTCACTCAAGTAAAATTAATATTCTGATAATAATTTGCAAATGATTACAAAATGTCCACTGACTAAAAGTGAATATAAAGAAGTAGTGAAACAGACGCAGAGGCTGATCAGATGGGTCTGAAATACCCTTTTCTCTGTAAGTGGATATCAACTCATTGGGTGGCATGTAAATGAATGTACAAATGAACAGAAATCAGTTAATGAATGTTAACTATTTACATCAACTCCTAATGACCAAGTAAGCACTTGCTATATAACGTTTGTCCATCACTATTTCCTGAAGATGTAGATTAATTTTTCTGTCCAGTTGAAGAGCTAGCACACAGCAACGTTTGGCACTGTTGCTTGAAAAATGACTAAATGATTTATTAAAACGGTTGTCAGTTTTCTGTTGTGTCGTAGTGTATTTGTTAAAACAAGTCTCTGCAGTTCATATTAAGCATGAAATAAGAAAAATGTCCAAAGAGCGCATGCATGAGAAAGAGGTGAGGGAGAATATGAAAAACAGACATGAGAAGCTTTCCTCTCTAATCATTAAAGCCAACCCACAGACCCAAAAGGACAGGGAGAGGACAGCGTACCCGACGAGGAGTCGGAGGATTTTAGAGCAAAAGACCAACCATCAGGGGTCATAGACGCACAGTGAGGTAAGCGCAGCTCCACCGGCTTCAGGAACTTAAGTCCGTGAGGGCCACACATCACCAGTGGACTGAGCAACGTTTCTCCTGCATGGACACACGACAAGATTTAAATTCCACAAATTAAACAAGCAGGAATTAATCAACAGGCTGAGTTATTGATTACCCAAGTCTGCTGCCAGGCCTTCACAATGAATGACAAAGACTTGCCAGATTAATTAAGTCCACTCCCATATGACGACATGGATGTTATATTATTTAAAAGCAGATTTAAGAGCAACTGTGTACCATGGTCTTTGCTGTAAATCAGCCACTCCCTTACATCTGTATATTACCTACTCATAGTTCTTGTGTTGCTCTGAGTGTGCAGCAACATCAATGAAGTATAAACTTCAGTAAGTCACAAATCTAGAAAATCTTCAGTCATCAATTCTACATTTACCTGTTAAAGATGCTGCTAATACTTTATGCTGATGTAGCCATTCATTAAAAAAACAAAAAAACAAACAAAAACCACACATACTTTATGGGTGCAGATAAATCCCCTATTCGCCCTGAAACAAAACTCCTTTAGTGATGGAAGACATTGTGCAACAGTGCAGCACTGACCTTTCTCCTTGTCGAGCGGGGGCAGGATGCTGTTGTCGCGGCACACTTTGAAGTAAATCTCCTGCTCCACGCTTTCGGGGATGGCACCCTGAGGGATGATGATGCTGACGCCCGTCTCAATGGAGCTCAGGACCCCTCCGTTGCAGTTGAAGATCCCCCGGGCAGTAGCCACCACGGTGTGCCCTTCGTCCTCATCGTCATCATCCAGCACACTGGGGCTGAGGGG